GATGTGTAACTATAGGTAGTTTTCCCTATGATCAGAGCCGTCCAATTAAAAATTTTTCCCCTGACTTTCACTGAGGTGATCAATGGTACCACTTCAGCCTTGGAACTCAGTCAGGTCAGCCTAAACTCACTGGCTAAGGCAGTTATAGATGACAGAATTTCTCTTTGTGAGGCAGGTAGAATATTTGCAATTACAAATATTCCTATTTTACTTGGATCAATGTCTCTGGCCAAGTAAAAGTTTTATGCAGAAATTTAAGGAGGAAGCTCCCTGACTTTTTAAAGTAGACTCTTGATAGTTCACATAATTTATTTAAGTTCTGGAACCTGAGGGGCATATTGTGATCAATCTTGCTCATTAAAATCTTGTTTATAGTATCTTTAAATAAATGCAGAGGATACAAATTGAAGAGATTTGATCCTACTTCCTGTCAGTAAGATTAACCAGAGCAGTCTGATGACTGGCATATTTATGGGGAAATTTGCTAGAAGCCAATAATGTCAAGCCAACAATTGTCAGGAGACAATTTCCATAGGTTTTGTGTCTTATTGCACATTATGGGAGGAGAAGCTCTCCCTATATAAGAAAGATTTATTTACAAGTAAGATAGTGTCTTTTTTCTAGGACATATGGTGAGCATGTTTATTTAGAAGCCCATCATAAAAGATACAGATTCCCTAAGCCAAGGTTTCTTAGCTGTCCTAGGAGCCTATTGCATGCATAGCATCCACCTGAGTGGCTCCACATAGTCTTATAAGGCATGAGGTCAGGAGGGAACAAAATTAATTTGAGGCTCATGCTGCTTGCTGTACCATGAGTATTAAAGTCCTCTGTCTCTCTAAGGGGGTATAGTACTTTCTGTCACTACCCATGAAAGTGATGCAAGCTAACAAGTTAGCTTGTAAGTAGGGTAAAATCTCAGATGCCTCACAGTTCTTGACAATATTATATAACAGTCCCAGAGGTAAGAGCACCTGAAAAATGTATTTTTTCAACTGGAAGTATTAGTCTTCCAAATAAACTTGGCCTTTTGCTGGCAAATCTGAAAGGAAGGAAGGCTATTCTGCAGGTAAGCAGCCGTTTGTGCCAATGAGTCAGCCTCCGTTGGCCCAATGGGTGTCCTGTTTCCATATTTCCAATGATAATCATATCTTCCAAAGTGATAAACATTATTTTTTCCTTGAATGATATTACTATGTTGAAGGTCTGCAGGCTTGACATCATTGTCTCTCTTTAATAAAAATGATTCTATGTATTTCACTTGTAATTTTTTTGAAAACTAAGTTTGTCAGAAATTAATCTTATTCTTATTTGTACAGCATCAAAATATTCTAGTGGTTGAAAGCAAGGACTATGTATGAGATGATCATTGTTTGAATTCAGGCTTCTCATCTTAGTTTCAAGTTACCTGATGTTTTTACATTTGCAAAAAATCATCATCATCATCATCATCATCGTCATCATCATTGTCATCATCGTTACCATCATTATCTACCTCAGTGGGCTGCCGTGAGGCTTAAATGAGATGATATGCATAAGGCCTGTGGAACAGACCATAGATGTGATAAATGCTCTCTATAAGATTAGCCTTTTTAATTATATTCTTGGGTGCACTGCAATTTCTTTATACTCATTATACATTAGTTACACGGATAGGCTCTAATCAGACTTAAAATTTCAGCTCTGATACTAACTTAGTTGTGTTTTGTGAGCAAGTTACTAAGTCCCCCCCCCCCCGTTTTCCTATCTGTAAAATCGTGATAATAGTATTACTTACTTCACAGAACTTTTGAGAAGATTAAATGACTTAATGTAGAATACTTAAATTTAGGGCCTGGCAAATTAAACACTCAGAGATAATATTTTTAATATTTATCTTACTGTTAAACTTTTTCACACTTCTCACACATTGTGAAAGTTACCTAGGATTTTGAGAGGCAACATTCAAGGTTAAAGTCCACCTACAAAGCCTTCTTTGATCACTGCTGCCAAAAATTCAACACCTTCCTCAATACACACCATTTGCATTCAGCTTGCCTCATTCATGACACTTAACACACTATTTTCTCGATTAAAAGAGTCATAAATATTTTACCTCTTTTGTTAATTGGAAGCTTCTTAAAGGCTAAGACTACATTCTGTAAAACTTTTTATCTCGTATTTTACATTGCACTAAGCAAGTGAGCAATGAATATTTCTTAAATGACACATTTTTTTTTTAAAGCTCAAGACTTCCTAAACTCTTTTCAAGCCTTTTTAAAAATGTCTTGAATCAATCCATTCAAATAAAGTTTCTACACTTTTTTTCTGGTTTCATCCATTTACTTAGAATCAAAGACTTGAATTTTCTTTGTTAAGGAATTTAAAGTAGTCTTTTATACTGTGCCCTTAATCATAATTAACTGTGCTTTTGAAAAAAGTGTTTCTCTAATTAACTGGATATGGAAGCCTAATCTTTTCTTTTTTTTTTCTTTTTTTAAAGTATATTTTTATAAGCAAAATACATCTCTAATAACATTTGGCTCGAGTAGGCTGACTTATTTCATCCATTGATGATGCTTAATTCATTCCTTAATGAAAGCAATTCTTGATAACCAAGATAAAAGTCAAGTATAATTCCAATGTTTGATCTTAAAATGATGACACTGATGAATGGATATGTAAATACATGTAGCCCTCTTAAACGTAGAAGGTATTTGGATAGCTTGATGTTACATTGGACTCTAGCCCAGTTCTTTACCAGCAAGATTTATTGTCAGTACCAAAGGGAGATTTTCTTTTATTACACAAGAGTATTACTGGAAATAAGTTTAAGGATACAATCAGGGTGATTTTTCATGAATTATTAAATTAAAAAAGTAAGTCAAAAGCGAGTGTATCATCAAAGAAAAAGAAAATATTTTTTTTTAGTATTATTATTCCTAAAACAAACCTGCTTCTAACAGAGGACTCAGTCATACATTGCATTTATAGCCATCTTATTTACTCAAAGGAAAATAGTGGAAAAGAAAATAAGGGATTTCAAATGTATGTAAATGATTCTCTATGAGTATGAAATTAGTGTACATTTTCAAAAACATTTACCTTATCAATAATAAAAATATCTTCTTTTATAAGAATTTTCTAACTGTAATCGACGTAGGACTTGGAAACAAGATGGCAAGGGATTTTCTTGCCTCATGGATATTTATAATGAAAGAGCAAAAATCTCATTTTAATACGGTAAGAAACTTTCATCAAAAATTGCTTTTCTGTTCTTTATTTTATCGAACAATTCCGACAGGACTAACTAAAAAATGGCCCCCGCCTCCCTGTGCCAAGAAAGATTCACAGTTTAAAAATTAATTATTTCAAGTTATGCTTGAGCAGAGATCATAAGAGCACCATTTATAAGACCATAAAAATCACAGATAACTTAACTGGAAGAAAACTGACAAATGCATATCAACATACTGTTTTCAGAGGTAGAGTTTACTATGTCCACAAAAGAATCCTGTCAGTGAATTTCAAATCTGTATCCAGTCTTTACTTTTACTGATGAGCCAATTATTTTTTATTTTCTTTTTGTTTATTTTATTCATTTCAGTCTTGGTCATTGTTCTGTGATCCCTAAATAATATGAATTAAGCAACAAAAATAAGGATTTCCATCCTGGAGACAAGTCTGCTTCTAGAGAGTGCCACAGACTTCTGGCAGAAATCTACCCAGAATTCTTCTCTTGATGCCAAAACCCCATGCGACCTTTGAATATTTAGGGCTAAATGTAACTGTCACTTGCTCTCCCTCCACAGGAGCTCTTGATAATTTCCAGATTTCTGCCAACCTGCTTGTGTCCTGTTCTATTGATGCCACTATTTGGCTTGCTCTTGTTTGACTTCTCCAATATTGTTGACAATTCTGGGTAGTTGATGACAAGAAAACCATTATTTTTAAGTGTTTACTTATTTGCTAAGACAAGTAAGTTGCACTATAGAGGGTGAAATCCTCTTGATTTTTTAAAATAAAAAAAAAAAAACAACAACTAGATCCATCCATACTGAATGGAAGACAATCTTCTGAGACTCTTTAAGGCAAATCTCTAAAGAAACATATATTTCAAAACATATATTCTCCATCAAGACCTGCTAGCTCTCTCTCATTTGATTATATCCATCTCTATTCCACCTAATGACAAAAATTGGAGACAAACTACATTTGAACATCTTGAACATCAAACTATATTTGAAACTACATTTGGACATTCAGTCAGTTAGCAAATAGATTTATTCAGGAAAAAACAAATAGCATTTCCATTTTATTTACTTTTCTTAATATAACATGAGTAAAAATACTGAGACAAAGCATCTTCTCCTTGAATTACAGTAAATTTAGGGCAAATGCACTGTGTTTTATCTTGGTAGGTTATATAAATTGTCTTCATACCACTCAGCATTTTGTGAAAGTCCATATTGTAGACAATATGCCATGATAACTAATATAGTCTCAGCAACTCCCAAAGAGTGTGAGGGTGTAAGCAAGATATGTCAGTTTTTGGATTTTTTGGAACCAATAAATATAAATAGGTATTTATTTTCAATGTCCAGGATCTGTTCAAAATGATGTTTTGTTATTATATAAATATATAAATGTTTTTATAAAGGGAGAAAGATGGTATTGTCTTTATGAGTTCTCATTATTTGACAAAAAAAGATATACTGGAGTTCATATTCCCTTTAGAAACATTTACAAGCTGAGCATAGATATAGGTATTTATTTCTTAATTTGACTTCAAAGTGATTTAATATAAACGACTGAACTTGAAGCCTTAATTTTTTTTTTTTGTTCTTGCTGCTAGATTTCTAAGAAGATTATGACAGAACAAAAAAACAAACAAACAAACAAACAAACAAAAAAACTACAGATAATAATGGACAAGCTCCTTGAAGTTTTTCAAGATTTAATGAAGTTGCTTGCCATGCAAACATCAGCATACAAAACTCACACAAATCCCAACCACTTACCATATTCACTGTCATAGAATATGATGAATTTCTGCCAGGCATATTCTGTGACCACTCTCAGGATAACATCATTTAAGTAGACAGGTGGGCGAACAGAGAGAGTGTAGTCATCATTCCTGTTGCTCCGGGTGAGTCCACAGCCACTCCTTGGGGTCCCAGCTGTTGAGCGCTGTATGAAGAGGTGGGGGATATGCATGGCATCTGCCAGAGACTGGAGGGAACCTGCCGACGTGCAGCCAATGGAGCTGACCAGGGCCAAGATGCCTTGATTCATAAGTTCACAAGCTGCAAGGAAGTACAGTAATATTCAAATGTCAGTGGGTTTCATATAACTTCCCCTTTGGAGTAACTGTGAATAAGGCTTTATGGAGTTATTACACAAGTATGGATTTTCTTTTAATGAACATCTCCCTGAAGAAAGCCCCAAATTACAAAGTGCGATTGGAATTCAGCTAACGAACTCTGCCCGTATTAGATAATCTGAACTTGTACAAATTATTTAGCTTTTCCTGGTCTGTTTTGTCATCTGTAAAGAGGGCAAATTAGCATGAATCTTGCAGGATTACTGCTAGGATTGGAGAAAATTCATGTCTGTTATTTGCCTTTCACACGATAGGCACTCAAATTAGTGGCAGCTATATTTTATAATTATCAATGTATAATTCAGGGAAAAGATAATTCCTCATTGAATATATACAACAAGGTTTTCTTAGAAAGCAGATAATATGTAAATTCGTGAATGAATGAAAAGGAAGAAGAAAGGTTTACATATGGAATTTCTGGCCACAGAAACAAGCTATTCTGGTATCTAAACGTTTGATAGCACTTTGTCTCTTGTTATACTGCAAAAGTGAAAATATTTTTGTTCTTTTCCTTTACTGGCAGTCAGAAAACTCCTGGTCAAATCAAATACTAAATTTCAGCAATTTTATTCTGGTTTCTAGCTGTACAATCTCTAATCTCTACTATACGATTTATGATCTCTGTTTTAATTTCATTTTAACTACATTGTGTCTGCATATATGCTTACTTCAAAACATATTTAAAACTGGATCAAATATAAATTATAGGCACATATAAAGACACAGCATATATAGCAAGAAAGGTTAATAAGTCTTAACTCGCTGTACTCTCTTTTTTTTTAAGTAATCTCTACACCCAATGTGGGGCTTGAACTCACGATCCTGAGACCAAGAATCAGGTGTTCTACTAACCAAGTCAGACAGATGGCCACTTCTTTTTCTTTTTTAGCTTTAAAATTTTTTAATTTTAATTTTTATGTATTTATTTATTTTTAAACTAAGATTCTATGCCCAATGGAGGGCTTGAACTAACCACCCTGAGAATAAGGGTCGTATGCTCTAATGACTGAGCCAGCCATGTGCCCCTTAATAACTCTTAACTCATTTAGTAAGTCCTACTAAGAGTTACGAGATCTGAGAGATATCAGACTGTCAATCCTTGAGGGCAAGAGATTAGAAATAAAATCAAAAGTAAATTCAGGAGGAATCAAGGTAAAAGAAATTCCACTGGAGAAGGCCGGTAATTATACTTGGTTCAGATATTATTCTATATTTTAGACAGTCTAGGTATAATATTCTTAATATTTATACATTATTATAATCAGTTTTACAGAGTGGTTGGAACATAGATAACAAGTACCTCTATATAATTAATTGGCCAGTTAATGAAGGCTGACAAAGTGCAAGTTTAGAAGTACTATACTAATGACATGCACATAAACACCAAATACATTTATTATTATTAATTTTAAGCCAACCTGCAATACAAAATAAATTAATAATTATTAGGGACATTATTTTCAAGCATAAGACTGGTTATATGATCAAATAAACTTAAAAGGTAACATCAAGGATAAATGCCTCTTAGACCATAACAGATTGAGGTTGAAATTTCAGTAAAAATCATAGAACCTACTCACGTTTGTGAATTCAACATTCAAAAAAGCAATATGAATTGATAGTTATACTTCCAATGGATTTAGGTATAAACACTGGTCAGAAATTTGTTTCATTATTGTAGGAAATAAAACCATTTCTGATTTATATAAGCAAATAGATTTATTTTTTAAAAGAAGATTTTGTCGTACAGCTTGGCTCATTTAGCATTTGAAATCAAAATAAACAGACTATCTTATGGCATACACAGCTGAATTCCATGTTTAGGTTACAAAAATTTAAAACAGCCAAATAAATATAACAGTTTATATAAATCTATCAGAAAAAGTTATAAAGTTACATATATAGAAGTTGAGATTTTAAAAAATTCAGGTTTGGGGGAGCCTGGGTGGCTTAGTCGGTTAAGGGTCGGACTTCTGCTCAGGTCATAATCTTACAGTTCGTGGGTTTGAACCCTGCATCAGGCTCTGTGCTGAATGCTTGTTCAGGGCCTGGAGACTGCTTTAGATTCTGTGTCTCCTCTCTCTGCCCCTCCACGCTTATGTTCTGTCTCACTCTCTCTCTCTCAAAAATAAATAAATGTAGAAAATTTTTTTTAAAAAAAATTAGTTTAAGTATTACATTCTGTCACATATGAAAATTATCTCTTTTAAAATTCATATTTAGAAATAAAGCTCTGAAGGCATATATAAATCATTATTTAGCATATACATTTGTTTTAGTATATAATCTGTGATTTCCTCAAACCAACTATGTGACTTCCTATTAACCTCTGTTAGTAAGAACACAAACTAGGTAAGTACTAGAAACAGTTGTTATTATTATATAAGGCAATGTGTTATTTTTAGATTATTTATAATTTGGCATTATCCATCCTGCTACACATGTAAGCAAAATTAACTGAAAACTCCCTATAAAATAAAAACAAGAATCATCAGAAATTGCAATAAAAACCATATAAGGGGTGCCTGGGTGGTTCAGTTAGTTAAGCAGCCAGCTTGTGCTCAGGTCATGATCTCATGGTTCACTAGTTCAAGCCCTGCAAAGGGCTGTAGGATGACAGCTCAGAGCCTGGAGCCTGCTTCAGACTCTGTGTCTCCCTCTCTCTGTCCCTCCCCTGCTCACACTCTGTCTCTCTCTCTCTCAACAGAAACAAAACAAAAACAAACAAAAACCTCCATAACAACAACAACAACAACAAACAATAACAACAAAACATGTAATATTAGATCTGAAAGGTAATTTGGAGATCAGGTAGACTGGGGACAGAAAATCAGCTTTAACTGCTATGCCGGTTATGACTGGTTGGTAAGCTGGCATTCTGGAATGCTCTTTTGAGAAAGATTTTGAGACTCATCAAGAAAGAGTACCAAAATCATTGTGTTAGTTTTCTCAAGGAAGAGACTGGGAGAGCAAGAGCCTGGAAGTCTTAGATGTGAGCTGAAGTCAGACACTTAACTGACTGAACCACCCAGGCCCCCCTTGATTTTTTATTGTTAAAAGGGATGCACTCACTTAATAAAAAACAACAGTTGTGAGTGAAAAGTAAAATCTCTTGCTCTCTAACTCCCTCATTTCAACAAATCCTTAGAGGTAACCATTTAATAATTTTTTAATGTTCCCATTCAGTTATTTTCCATCCACATATACATGCATATGTTCTCACCCTCATTTTTTTATTGAGCACAGACAGGATCATGCTTGACTGTTTTGGGTATGGGGATTTTTAGCCTGATGAGAAGAAAGTAACAGCAAGTTCAACATTTCACTGTCATTCAATCATTTTAGAATAAACTCAGAACTTTGAAGTTCCCTAGGCTTGTTTAAATGTTTAGAAAGACAGCTATCAAATCTGATATTGTCACTCCCTTGATGAACAGGGTAAGGGCTCTAAAACAAGTTGGTCTGGCTGCAAGCCTGATCCCATCTCTTTCATATACTTATAGTGTGAAACCCTGCCAGTCACGGTTGTCAAGAAAGCATACACCACTCCCTTAAAAAAATATAAGTCCCAGGTCTCTAACTCATTGTCTAACATGCTTTCCACCATAGTAAGCAAATGATATTTGTACTCTTAAAATTTTGCTTGGCAAAGAAAAGATAGACATAGGACTCCATAGGGAAAAGCTCAGTTGGAGACTATCTACTGTCAAAGTTTGATAAAAAGAGGTTGATCCATTAAAGAGAGAAGGAACAGCCCACACACCTAAAATAAACTGAAACTGGTTGAGCCAAAACACAACCCTGGTTGGTACATAAGAGAATGGGCTTGCAAAGCAACCTATCAAGGCTCTATTTGATGTCCTTTAAGCCAATATAAAATGTTGGTTGAAGATAAGAAGATACAAATTTATTTGCTTTGGACAGTGACCCTTCATAAAGCCCTATATAAATGATAGCATAAAAAAGATACTAAGATCCTCCCTCCCTCCCTCCCCCCCTTCCTTCCTCCTTCTACCCTTCTTTTTAAAAACATGTGGGATTAAAAACACTTTCACCATTTTGGGTCACTCAGCAGTTATGAAAATGAAGTTCTCTGTATAAATTTAAGTTAAATGATACTTATGTATACAATCATTTTTTTAAATCTCTTTTAAATCAAACTAATCAGTTTGAGTCTTATTTTTCTATTAAGTAAAATGGGATTAAAAGTAAAATCTATGAAGTGTCTTGAAATCAGTTACCTGTTACTGAATACTCAAGGAAAACAGCACCATCTTTCTTTATTCCCTGTGATATATTTTCTAACTTATTTATATTAACCAATTTGCCTCAATTTATACTGAGGAATTTTGTAACCTCTTTCACTGACTTTAAGTCACACCAAGGCTTTAGCATACTCCATTCATATATTTATCCCTCAACACACATTTATCGACTTTAAACATGAGCCAGGAACTTCTTTGGAAATCAGAGAATGCTTAGGCAGATTCTGTCCTCAAAGATCTTCCAATCTATTCACCATAGTGTTTGTAATATGTTCCCTGGGTCAGAATTCAAAGTGGAGATTAAAAAAAAAATACACGTATCTACTTTTAGAAGTTCTACTTTATTCATTATAGGGTATGATCATGTATTTACCGTATGATGTATCATCTCAGTAGTTCTGACACGTAACCCTTTCTGGAAAACATGATTCTGGTGGATTGTAACTGCAATACTCTTTGATGTAATTGCTGGAGAACATCTAATATTTGTTGGCTTTCTTTTACTTTTTTTCCCAATAATACTGCTGATAATACGACCATAACTGGGAAATGGAATTTCTCTATTTTTTCTAATTCTCTTAATTTGCAAGTGGGGGTGAAGTATAGGGAAAGAAGATACATGGAGTTAATAAGAATCATTGTACCCCAAAAGGTGACC